TCGAAGAATGTTTTCCTCGTAGTGCTGTTTAATAACAGCTGGAATAAAGTTCAACCTGTTATTAAACAAGATTAGTGATGATAAGGTACTCGATAAGTCATCGCCTATGTTTTCAATAACTGACCAGTTTCGAGGGCTTATATCACGACCTGGGTTGAATTGGATGACTGCAGTTTGATCCGTGCATAGTGGGTAGAATTTTCTCTTGGTTGCTATCCCAGCGTCTTCTCAGGGTTGGAATGAGTTGATGTCTATTTTATAAAGACAGTGTTTTTGAATTAGCGTTTTAGGGGTACATCATGAAATTTTCTCAAACTTCATCATTCGAGCTCCCAGTTGATAACTTAAGCAACTGAAAGCCAAGTAGCATTCCTCGAATTGCTCTTATACCTTGTAGACCTATACCAAGGTTCATTTAGCATCAGCTTGACTTAACCTCAAACTGCTTTTGAGTTGGACCGGAGTGATTGCGGCTGAGTTGATTCGATTTCGTTTTCAGAATTTGTTCGTGCTATCCTGTTGAGATTGGATATGGGCATTGAAATCTCGTGTTTATGTGAATATTTGTTTGATTGTCCCTTTGCTGTTGTTTTTGTTTATGTAATTACTTCGCGTTGTTGTTTATGTGATTGTTTCGTGCGTTCATCACCGTGTTCCCTCGTTGATCAATATCGTGTTTTTGATGCTGTCACGCCAGGCGTAATAAAGGGAAAATAGCTAGGCATGGTTTGGTGATGTTCCATGAGCGAGGTAGAATCGCAAAGTGCAAAGGGACCTCGCACAAACCACGCGGGGACAGTTCAATGTCGCGTGCTAGGGTCTGGCTTAAGTTTGATGCTCTTGCGTGGAAGAAGCTCATGAATTTGCTGAGAGTAAGATGAATTTGAGAATATCAATGGTGCATGGCGTGACAGCTGTATAAATGTTTTTCCACGTGCTACCACACATTACACCGAAATCGCTTGAAAGGATCCACCAGCTGTCAGTATCTTCGGTTTCAGTGTGTTTAGGACTGTCGTGACGGCAACTGCTGTAGTTTTGTGCCGCAAAGTTTGGGATAATTCAGCTGCAATATAGGTTCAGGTTTTGAAATGATCGTTTGCATCACATTTAGGAACGAAAAACTTTAAATCAGGCTTTTCGAAATATTCGTGTGAAAAGCAACTTTAGAAAAGTGCTAATGCAGAACACTGTCAACGATGTAGCAAAATATTGCTGGAATGAGTAATCGTATATTGAGGATCATTTCATGGGAAGATCGTCACACATATCTTAAGCATAATAAAACAAATCTCGAGGAATGGATTAGATTCCCTAGATAAATATGATGATATGATAAAGAGAAACAAATGGGAAGTCTCGAATAGGATGGTAGATTTTCTTCAAAGGAAACAGAATTTATGAAACAGAACTTCTCAAATGTCATACAGAATAAGAATGGAAAAGCATTGTCTTGTTTGTAGAGAAGCATAGATGTTGTCGGATGGTTTTGTTTACTATCAGTAGTATCTTACGTAGTTGAGTGGATCATTCCAATGCATTGTGTCTGTATAGATCAGCGTACACAAGCGGTAATAATATCAGGATCACCAAATTCAGTTTAATGGTGACTGCTATCCAGCGCGGATTCATTTCGGTTGTGCATTTGACTTCTACTGCACGAGAGGTCAATACTCTTCAGTTTGGTTTCATTTCAGTGAGCATAACTTTGCCTTAGGAGGATTGATTTTATTCGTAATATGAATCCAAAATCTACCCATCTGATGTTTGGTGTTTATCATGGGTTCATTTCTCATTGCATGGATCGCAATTAGCTGCAAGCATGCTTATTTGCTCAAACTCAGTCAATTTCAGTCGGAATGTTAATTTCACTTCTGAGATAATTAACTGATTGTGAGTTAATTCCACTTCTTCTTAATCGGGGAAGTAGTTGTTACTATGCGGAGATAGTTGTGGCACGATGTCTTCATGCATGCGATGTGTTCTGTATGTGTTAGATCACAACCCTTTCCGTTGAGTCAATTCGTGAGTGGATCATAAATGCATTTAGACTCACTATCAGTCTAAGCGAAACCTCGGTCTTCGAAGAAGTGCTTGAATGCTCGAATGGAGCATCTCCGTGCATATCAATGGAATTCTTGCAGTGCGCAATTTCTGGTGACAAAAGGACCATCGAAGAACAAACTGTAATTCAAACAATATTTTCAAAGAAAAATTACGGCATTCACTGTCAGATCAACACACTTTCACAATCAACACCATCTTTATCTGGTGAATAGTAAAGAATTCAGAGAAGGAATTTTACTTTAGTGTGTGTTCATGACATGGGAATTCTCTCTGTGACTGATTTCGTATGTATACTTCGCATCATATTTAACCATATTCATTGGAAAGTTTGCATTATAATCATATAGAATTGTTCCGCGGGAGAGGATGTATTTGAAGATGTCACGGTCAAGACTGAGGAGGTTGACAAAGTTATAATAATTATTGTTGTCTTAAAAGTCATAATAACGATATAGCTGCAGCTGGACGTGAGAGTCTCCATAACGATAATAGCAAATTTGAGTCATTATTACATTTTGATTCCTCAACTCATTTAAAATTGGAAGATGAGAATAAAATAAAGTCAAGCAACATAACAACAATGAAAACAATATCCTCAGTGTAACTAGAACATCTGTGACAAATCTATCAACAATCGTCTCCAACAACACGTCATTTGAATATTCATTAGGAATTATGAGAGTTTTAATATGATTTGTGACATAAGGTGATGCTGTGCTTGTAACAAACATTCATTTAACATTGGAAACATTCTTTCTCATATTTCCTAGCATCGGTCGACGGAGTATTGAACATCTTTTGCGTTTTCTGTCTGCAGATGAAGTTGCCAACAAAGTCTTGATCAGTCATTCATTTCTGCATTTGATTTCCTCAAACTGAGCAAGTTTAAAATGCGTTACTGATTATGAGGAAACGAATCGATATGAGAAAGTGATAATATGGAAACGATCTCTCGAGGATTTTTTGTCGAAAATAACACGACCGTCGCTTGCATTCCACAATTGTGACATCTCCCACTGATTCATAAAAATCCGAACTGCCAAACTTGTCCGGTCACTTTTTCATTAATACAATAACTTCATGCCAGCTTTCAATATTGATATTAATAATGACAATTAGTACTGTTATTATCATTCTCATTCCCATTGTTATTACCCTTATTAATTGTTCATTAATGACAACTTTACTGTTCATTAATGCTTTTATCGCTGACAACATTAACATTATGGGGTAACAATCAGCTAATTTTGTCATCGTTTTCGCTTATATATTAAAGACAACAAAAGCATCTGAATGGGGACTTTCCTACTTTATTGACAGTTGTGAAACCAGTACACAAGGAAATAAGAAAAATCTGCTTACATTATCGAGGCTCATCAACGACGTGTTGGTTGATGAGCCTCGATATCGGAATAAAAGTGTTTCGAGACTTTTCAGTGCATGAACTGAAATAATTTTGCTACCAATTGGTGTGCAAATGGCTTCATGAGGGAGGTTTTAGAATTGCATTTGCAATACGACCATTGAGCTTCATTTTCTCGTAACGATAAGTGCATGCAACGGACTCTCATGAACTTGTCATTGGCAACACAGTCAGTCTTTTTACTTCCTTGTCCGTTCGCTTGGCAACCGTCAATAAATGCGAATAACAAAGTGATACAACAACGCGAGTGCTTTGAAATTCGGTATGAGAAGCGACATGGAAAAATAAACATTGAGAAGGAAAGCTGGAAAACTTCATTGATGTGATGCACTTCA